CAAACAAATCAATACAAACCACAACTGCTTTGAGCACTTCATTGGTAATCGATGGCAATACCCTCTCGTCGTAGTCCTCACCCAAAGTGGCGTAAATATGGGGCAACTCTTTAGGTATGGGTCGGAACAGCACCCGAAGCGTGATCTGAACGTTCTGGAGGTCTGCAACACATGACACACACAATCATGGCATCAGTTATCACACAATCTAACCATCGCGTGGACACTCGTCGCCTACAATACCTTTACTGCCGGTAATGACGGGCACATTGCGAGGACGGGACCGGATGTCGTATATGATGGCCCTCTGGACCAGTGGTATGAGGAAGTGGGTGCCCTCCCCGACCACATTGGGCTTCACACCAGTGAATCGGTCAAAGATGACAGCCCTCGACCCCCCGTCCACTGGAAACACACCACACAATCAGTTCATTGCATAAAAGACAATGCATTTCATCATTCATACCATTATAGAGAGCGGTGTTGACAACGGACGCCCCGATGGCCAGACCCACCCCTATCTTCCCAATCGTGTTCAACACCTGTGCAGCCATTCCCTCGTTATTATGGCTTTTGTGTCGGATTTTAATTAAACGTTAATTTAATTGACGATTAAATCCGAGAAATTTTTGTCAAAACAATTCACATGTGATTCACACATACAGTCGGGTTTGCCGGTAGAGGTCACCACTAATTGGCATTCATTGCGTTCATTCATAAATAGCACAAATATATGAATGCAAAACTTGACCCCTTTTGGACAATCTTTAGATAATTTGTATTCATTTCCCTTAACTCCCCCCTCATATGAATTGCATGTCATTTATGAACATTTTGTGTCCGCCATTAGAGTCACGTGACTTCACCACTCATTTCCTTTTCTTCTCAAAGCATTCATCAAAAGGTTTGAAAATTTTGATTATATTTTGTTTTAATTCACTTTTAATCACAATTAACACCACTTTCGCATAAATTGTGTCCATTTTGTGAACACTTGTAAATGCCTTTCATTTATCTAACACTCAATTATCTGTTAATCTCTGTATTGAGACACAAAACGCTTCAAACCTCACAACACGTGTCATAACAAGCCTTTAATCGTGTCTTGAATTTCGCAGATAATCGTCGACCGAAATGAAGACCATTTTGGCGAATCAGANACTCTCGGCTCATTATAACACAAACACTGATTATTGCATTCATTAAATGCAAATCAACAATGAAATGCATAAACCATACGCTAATCACTTATTAACGGCACTATTACGAGTGTATAAAACAATTAATACTAACATTTAACTAATGAAAACATTTTAAAATATGAGTTATGGCTGTAAATATTATGAACGTTACGGCAAACGGCACTGAAATCGATAGCAAACAAACAAATGTGTAAATCAATTACACTTTCAATAAATAAAATGCAATTTCAATCGCAAACTAATTGCATAAAACGTGCCAAATGTTTGCAAAACAAATGCCTATCAAATGAAAAACAAAATGCAATCAAAAGAGTGTAACAAATATTTGCAATCAATATATGCATCGCTTTGACACGAAATGCCTGTCAGTGTCTTAGGGGTGGATGTGGTGGTGATGATAGTGGCATCACATCCAGTCACCACACTCTAGATATGTGGAGGACTGCCATTTTAGGCCATATAGACCATGGCATGAGTGACACACAGCCACAGCCATAGCCATATTGGACGGGTAGGCGCACAGGGATCTCATGGATATCATGACTGACCTGTTTCTTGGGAGTCGGGTCGGTAGTCGTGAATGCCTTCCGTCTGAATGTCTTTCGTGTCATCTCTGATGGCCTGAGTGATGATGGACTGGGAGTCCATCGGTGATGATATGCGGGGAGAGTGGGTGGCGATGGCGGTGGCGGTGGTGGCGATCACTCACTGGTGGCCTAAACACCACTACAGCCACTGACTGGCACTGAGTCGGAGGTGTGAGCGCCACGAACAATACACCATTTAATGGTCACAAACACACCATTGAGTCACTTGTGTCACAAACACTCAATGCATACGACTATTCACTCATGAATGATGTTGTCTATAGAGTAGTATTCAATGCAATGCCATAAACACCACTCAATTGAATTGAAGCATTCATTGCAGCAGCCATTCGTGTGATTGAGACAAACACTGCATTTGCAACCAATACTCAAACCATTTCACTCCAAAACTAACCCATCCTTTGGCACACAATTACGTAACGCATAACCACTTTCGTGTCAAACGGCCCGCAATGGGAAGGGGCTGTCGAGCGCCGGCACGTCATTCATTGTGCGCCAGGCGTACCGTGTTTTGCAATACTGTATGCATTCATTCGCCTCAATGTATTCGTTGCCCTCAATATGAGAGCACTGTTTGGCATTCACTGCCTAATCCCAGTCCCAAAGTGGTGTCGCTCCCTATCCATTGGTATCATTGAACGCCAACCCATTGCCATAAGCGCTAAGAGCTATCACTTTCTACTCAAACCTCACACAAGAATTGTTTGAATATTTATTTCAACAAAAAATTACATAATTTTCTAACACAATAGACATATAGTATCGTAAAAAAGGGTTTTTGAGACATAAAACTACATAAACTTGTGAATTAGCGCTACATTTGAGGTAAGCTGATGAGAGTGCTCTGATTGGCCGGCAAATAGACCACATTTCGCGATCGCGACAGTTGTAGAGCGATGTCTTCGGCCGCCTCCAGACGTCTCAACTCGACTAAGGCTTCGCCCGCTTCGAAGGCTTTGGCGAGCAGTCCGGCCGCCTGTGAGTCGCCCTCAGCCGAGATGATCGACGCCTTCTTATGCTGCTCTGCCTTCTCCACCAAAAAGCGAGCCCTTTCTGCCTCCTGTTGTGCCACTTGTTTCAACTCAACGGCAGCCGTAAACTCTTTGCCAAAAGTCAGATGTGTCTGCAATTCATGAACAATTCATCAGTCGTTTCAATTTGAGTCTCATTTCCCAATCGCTTGAGAGAAAAGTTTATTTATTTAGTCTGTATTGCAGTGAACTTAGACTACAGTCACCGGTAGGTCAGTGACTGTCAGTCAATACAATAATAAATACAATAGATTTTCTGTTGGCTAACGTTAACCTACTGTATGGGACCAATAACTTCACGAAACAATATTGTGATATATTTTATCAATAAATCTAATGCTTTCGTGTGATGATTATGTGTCTACTTTGTTGATTAAAGCTCTAATGGTTTTGCTTTCAAACGCTATATTTACCGCATAATACCCTCTACTGTACTATCTTTGCGCTATATATGACAATCATAGCCATAGTGTGCCATCAATGAGCTTTGGTTTTATTAAAAATCGATTTTACTGTAAATTAAGTTATTATTAGACATCAAAGCATGAAAAATGATTTTCTCATTTCAATTACTACACCGAATCAAAGCATAGGCTTTACTCGCAGTTTGCGTGACTTTGGAGCAAATTTAATGCATTTTATATTAAGCCAAATGTATGGCACAACACATCAATTAATCCATTAATGAATAATGAGTTATATATTGAAAATCCATATTTGTATGAGACTTACGAGAGATATATCATCCAAAATGAGTCCAAACTGAGTGGCCCTTTCCGTCAACTCTTCGGACACTCGTTGAGAGACAATCTCTCGCTGTGTTATAAGTTCCCCGGCATCGAACTGGGCCTACATTTGCATACAATTCACTCATTTTAGTCAATAATTGGCACAAAACAATGCAAACAAATCAATACAAACCACAACTGCTTTGAGCACTTCATTGGTAATCGATGGCAATACCCTCTCGTCGTAGTCCTCACCCAAAGTGGCGTAAATATGGGGCAACTCTTTAGGTATGGGTCGGAAGAGCACCCGAAGCGTGATCTGAACGTTCTGGAGGTCTGCAACACATGACACACGCAATGGTGGCATCAGTTATCACACAATCTAACCATCGCTGAGACACTCGTCGCCTACAATACCTTTACTGCCGGTAATGACGGGCACATTGCGAGGACGGGACCGGATGTCGTATATGATGGCCCTCTGGACCAGTGGTATGAGGAAGTGTGTGCCCTCCCCGACCACATTGGGCTTCACACCAGTGAACCGGTCAAAGATGACAGCCCTCGACCCCCCGTCCACTGCAAACACACCACACAATCAGTTCATTGCATAAAAGACAATGCATTTCATCATTCATACCATTATAGAGAGCGGTGTTGACAACGGACGCCCCGATGGCCAGACCCACCCCTATCTTCCCAATCGTGTTCAACACCTGTGCAGCCATTCCCTCGTCGTATGGCTTTTGTGTCGGATTTTAATTAAACGTTAATTTAATCGACGATTAAATCCGAGAAATTTTTGTCAAAACAATTCACATGTGATTCACACATACAGTCGGGTTTGCCGGTAGAGGTCACCACTAATTGGCATTCATTGCGTTCATTCATAAATAGCACAAATATATGAATGCAAAACTTGACCCCTTTTGGACAATCTTTAGATAATTTGTATTCATTTCCCTTAACTCCCCCCTCATATGAATTGCATGTCATTTATGAACATTTTGTGTCCGCCATTAGAGTCACGTGACTTCACCACTCATTTCCTTTTCTTCTCAAAGCATTCATCAAAAGGTTTGAAAATTTTGATTATATTTTGTTTTAATTCACTTTTAATCACAATTAACACCACTTTCGCATAAATTGTGTCCATTTTGTGAACACTTGTAAATGCCTTTCATTTATCTAACACTCAATTATCTGTTAATCTCTGTATTGAGACACAAAACGCTTCAAACCTCACAACACGTGTCATAACAAGCCTTTAATCGTGTCTTGAATTTCGCAGATAATCGTCGACCGAAATGAAGACCATTTTGGCGAATCAGATCGTGAAGATCCCCGACGGAGGTATTGCCGATCACCGCAACACCCGTTGCGTTGTGTTGACCACCAAATGACTAACCAATGAATGCCTGTATTCCTCAAACACAGTGTCGGTGTCGGTGAAGAACCGTACGGTGCGAGTGAAGGGGCCGAGAGGTCTGCTGGTGCGGCAGTTCAAGGCCCAACTGGACATGGAGCTGATCGGCAAACACCGCCTCCGCGTCCAGAAGTGGTTCGGCAATCGCAAGGAGTTGGCCACCGTTCGGACCATCTGTTCCCACATCGAGAACATGATCGTCGGCGTCACCAAAGGATACCAGTATAAGATGCGTACGGTTTACGCCCACTTCCCCATCAACGTGACCACCTCTGTGGCCAACTCCGTGGTCGAGATCCGCAACTTCTTGGGCGAGAAGTACGTCCGTCGCGTGGAGATGCAAAAGGGCGTCACGTGTGTCAACTCGACCGCACAGAAGGATGAGCTGATCCTCGAGGGCAATGACATCGAAGCCGTGTCTCGATCGGCGGCACTCATCCATCAGTCGACGCTCGTGAAGAACAAAGATATCCGAAAGTTTTTGGACGGAATCTATGTCTCGGAAAAGACTAATGTTGACACCACTGAATGAATGATTGAAATGACTTTTTATTTGATTAATAAAATTAATTAATTGTGAAAATAAATGTCAATATCTTTCGTCTTTTGGCACAAAACTGTCGATTAAACCGTTTTGTCATGTTTTCCAGTGATTCCCAATCATAAGCACTACTTTCGCGCGAAATTGCTGTCCATTAAGTTATAGCCTCTTTGAGAGGTAAACCTCTTTTGCCGGATCCGGTCCTCCAAAGAGTCGGATTCAGTGGCGCTCTTAAGCAATGGTTTTATGAATTGTGCCGATTTTCCGGAGGCGTTGAACTGGTTCTCCTCCTTTTCCTCCTTGTCATACGTCTGGACGTTAGTCTTGCGTTGGCTTTCCCTCCAAACGGCGTTATCCTCCATCTCTTTGCGCTTCTGTTCCAACTGTTCTGCACTGAGTCTCGTCTTCTGCGGCGGCTTTGACTGAGTGGTCCAAGTGTTTCGTTGTCTGCCATCCAATGGCTTATCATATCGTTTGGAATCGTCTCTCCTTTCGTTTGTGTGCACTCTTTGGTCACGTCTTCGCTCGGAATCTCTTTTGTCATTATTTCCATCTCTTCTCTCTTTATCTCTATTGGATTCGTAACTCTTGTGACGATCTGATGGCTTATAGTGCGAGTGATGACTACTTCTGTGATCTCTATCTCTTCGCTCGTAATCCCTATCATCACTTCGATGCCTTTTGTGGTCATATTTACGATCGGAATGATCACTACTGTCGGAACCACTACTACTGCTATCTCTTGGTTTGTGTTTCTTCTTATTCTTCTTGTGCTTATCTCTAGTGATAGTGGACTCCAAAATAGTCCTCAATTTCTTGAGTTTCAACGGATTGTCTAACAGTTTTCGTCGCTCTTCGCGCTGTTTGACGCGAATCTCATACAACGGGTCTTCTCTGAGTTTTGCGGCCAAATCGATGGTAACCATAGAGTTGTTGGATGTGTTGGGAAGTGAGTCGAAGACTGATTGGGGAACCGCTGACTCGAATCCCTCCAAATCTCCTTTCGGTTGTCCGCTCTCTTCGGCCGTTATTATCTCAAAAGTCTTGTCCACCTTTCGGCCGGTCAGGTAGTCTTCATTGTCCACCAGACCTCTCACCCCCTTGTACATCCACTCCAACTTCGGGCCCTCCTGTGACCCCATTATCACCTGATTTGTCTTAACAGTAAACCACCGCTACTTTCACCACAAATGCAATCAAAACAACATTTGATTTGTTTGTAAATAATGTATGAATTGTTGTATTGAGTGCTCAATAGAGGTGTCGTTACTTGCAATGCATTCCTCCATACAATTCATACAAAACTTGTAAAATATCCCCGAAATGAATACCAACATTAAGTTTGAATTGAAATTTAATTGTATATTATTTTTATTTTTTCATACTTTTATTATACTTTTTTATTAAATGAAAAATTGGATGAATTTTTCGCTAAAGAGCCGAAGCCTTAGGACCAGTGCTGAGAGTTTTGTCACGGCTTTCGAGAAAAATAAAATTTCAACTTTTCTTTTAGTCTGTAATTTGAATTTAAAATCAATTGCTTTTTATAATTTAATTGCATTTTTATTTTATCTTCGCATTTTGTTTTAATGTTTAATAATATTGAATAATTTATAAGCGTTGTATTTATATTTAGCTTTGAAATGATCTGCAAATGTCTAAAAATACATGCTCTTTAAGAATCGCAAACTTTATTTATTTAATAAGTTTGCGTTTGGAAACGAAAAAATTTATTTTTATTATATGCCAAAGTTTTTTAAAGCCAAATATTATGATAATATATGAGAATATTTATTATGGAATTGAATGAATGGGTTATAAAAATGGCAAAAACGGTAAAAATAGGCACAAAAATGGGATGTTTTATCGGAATGGGCTCTCATTGATGTGAATCAAAATGATAGCATTGAATGGCATTACATAAGCATAACACACGATATTTGAATAGAAATCCGAATCCCAGCGCTATTTCAATGACTGGTTGTTGCAGAGCACCGGCAGAGACCCATTACCTCACCTGTAACTGAGAGGCTATAAGTTTTAATAAGGAATGCGTGGGAACGGCACTATCGCTGCACTGGTAGACCAGTGTTTGTATAGCCGGAGCTGTACTCTCGAGTGCACCAGTAATTGAAGTACTGGTGTTGGAACAGTAGCTCCGCATTACCGTTAAGGTGCTGTTGGTTGGTGTGCCAAACGCTCTCAATATATATTCACATTGGAGTCCATTCTTTGCATTTCTGTCGCATTCAATGTGTGATGACAATAGAAAAACGGCTACTTTTCCTACTGTTCCTACTGTTCTCTATTTGCAAAAACTTTCTCTTTGGGTGTGGGCTGTCGTCTCTCTCTCTCTCTCTCTCTCTCCGTATTCTTTAACTTATAGTAAAAGTTTTATATTATAAGTAAAGCCCCGTTTTCTCACGCTTTCCGGTAGAGACCCTCCGCCACAGCTTCCGATTTCGTAAGGCTTTCCAATCTATGAGTGGTATTATATAAACAGTTTGATAAGCATTGGGAGTAGTGATAGGGAGAGGGAGAGAGTGAGTGAGAGAGAGAGAGAGAGAGAGAGTAGGCACAGGTAGGCATTGGTGGTGGTAGTGATAGGTGGGTCATTTGGTCGACGGACCAGATGTTGTAATATCAATACTGATCACAATTTCTTGGACTGCTTTCCCTTTTTAATAGTAAAGTCCCCTCTTATATAATGCATTACATCCTGTCATCCAAACTACACGTCATTTCCCACGCATTGCATCTCAAGACCTGAATTACTCAATGATTTGAGTCAACGTTTGGCTCTTTGGCTCTCGGGATAAATGTTTTAAAGAGGAAATCATTTCTCTGAGAAAGTGATGTCGACTCTGATTTTAATACAAATCTCCATAAAAGCGTAAGTGTTTGGCTATTGTCTGTCCAAATATATGTGCCGCTAATATAATGGGCACCGATAGGCACCTTATTTGGTCTTACAGTTAGACAACGGCTCCGCAAAACACACACATCGCTAAACTTCTCACTACTTGTGCTGTACGATACTCTCACATCACTTTCACAACACATTCTCAATGTTTTTCTCTTACGGCAGGTTTTTTCCTCTAAACAAATCCTCTCATATTATATGAGACATGAACTTAAGTCTCAAGAATTGAATCATATTTTATATGAAAATATAGTGGAAATTATGAGCTAAAGAAATGACGAGAGTTTCTTTCCATTGAAAAGCCATTCATTTAGTAGTTGTAGAGCAGAGACTATGCTTTTGATTAGATGTACAGAATCTGTAGTTATTTATTGTATAGTGAAGTGGTATGTAATTTAGAGCTGTTTAGTAGAAATTGAATTTCATAACAGTTAGTGTCCTTCGTAGAGGTTTGGGCACAGCGGGTATCACTGGTTGGAAGTGCTGTCAGTGTGTGTATAGCGTACTGGAGTCTAGTGTGAGGTCAAGGCATTGAAATAATCGGTAATAAAGTATTTGCTTTTCATATATGCAGTCAAATGCATGCCTCGACTATTGAGTGCTGTGTTGGAGTCTCGGGTCTAACGCAGTGATAGTGTATAGTGTATAGTGTGGGAGGAATTCTGTGCCAAAGAGATCACAATTTATATAAGTTTTCAAAATAATTTGTTCGCATAAATCAGATGTGCACCTGCTGTCAGCCCTCAGTCACAATCACATACATGAGACTCAACCACAGTCTCCATACCATAGCTCAGACAAGTGAAACCTCAGAGTTACTGACCTTAAGCTCACAACTATTCTTTCAAATTCTCATTTGTGCTCTCAGTCTTCAGTCTCTTACAGCTCTCTCTCTCTCTCTCTCTCTCTCTCTCTCTCTCTCGACTGCAGCATAACTGGCCTTTCATTTAATTTGATTCCTTTCCTCGACTTCATAGCCAGAACTCATAGTTTTTGTTCATTTCTTTCTCTCGTGTCATCAGATATCATATGAAATGCCAGCAAATCATAGTGAGAGCACAGGCAGTACGCCCTCAGCACTGATTATGTTTGCAATGCATGCAATTCATGTGTATTTTACCGATACATAAGTTAAGAATTAAAGAGAGAGAGAGAGAGAGAGAGAGAGAACCTCTACTGAGTTCTGGGCTCTGCTTTTGCAACAGAGATATGATGTGATAAATACCTGACTATTTGAATGTCGCTTTGATTATGGCATTCAAGTGAAGCATATCTTCAAAGCTAACTCACTATTTGATTCATTGCGACCCAAAACATACGAAGACTTGTGTGCAGTTTTTCAGTCGTTTACCCCTGTATTAAATGCTTTTAAAACTCATGTGTTTTGTGTCCGAAATGAGCGAAGAAAATAAAATCTCTGAACTTAGAGATGGAGAGAAAGAAAAACATATTTTCAGTATCGATTTAATTGCCATTAAATGCTGACTCCAGTCTATGTAAACGCCTTTAATGTCTTGTAATCATTATCTATATTAATGGGTGTAGTCTTACAGCACTTGTTTTGATTTGTAAACTCACTTTTTTAAAACCCATAATACTAATAATACACTAAAGTATTGCTCAATTTTAGACGCGATTCAAAATAATGTTACAAATTCTTGCTAAAAGCCATTTGAGAATAAAGTGAATAATAAATATAAATAAAAAATTCTCTTTTGAATACATATGACAAATGATTTTCTATATATCATAAATCAAATAAAAATTTGGATTCATTTTTATATTACAATACAATTGAAAATGCAATTTATATAAGAGAGAAGAATGAGAGAGAGAGAGAGAGAGAGAGAGAGAGACAGAGAGAGAGAGAATATTTGAATCGAAAACGTCTTCAACAAGTGAATGATGTTTACAATTATATATGACTTGTATATGACTTCCCAATCAAATGGTTTGCGAACACATCAATAGATAGACAATTCAGACAAAGAATTGCATTCCTTTTGAGCGCATATTAACTCCAATTCACAGGTATTTGAATTATAGCTCAAAAGAGCAGTTATTGATATATGGCACGAAATAGTGGAGCGCTCTGTTCGCTCTCTTTAAATGATTTAAACACTAGTTTGAGTTCTTCTACACAACTATTTCTGTAGAATATTCTGTGCTTTAGATTAATAGTGAATTTGTTTGTCAGCCCTCTCTCTCCCTCTATTCTCTTGCAAATACACATTTGGAGAAAAGGTGGAGAGACTGGAGAGAGACTGGAGAGAGAGAGAGAGAGAGAGAGAGAGAGAGATCACAGAAGTAGTCATCACTCGCACTATAAGCCATCAGATCGTCACAAGAGTTACGAATCCAATAGAGATAAAGAGAGAAGAGATGGAAATTTATTACTGCAAGGACTCAGGTATTGAATTATTAAATTCTGGGCTCAGATTGTGGAGAGAGAGAGAGAGACTGGAAAGAGAGTATGGAGTATGAAATGAAATGATCTTTTGAGTGCTGGTTTAGTTTGTGTTACACTCATATAATGAGAGTTTAATAATAGTCGCGCCAAATGCTAAGACTTGAAACTGATTTTACGCTACAGTTGTACTTATGATGACTACAACAGCAAAGACCAGTGATTATCAACTGTGGATGACTGTAGGGCTGAATAAATTTTTTGTGGTAACATTATTTCCATCATTTTCTCGTCCCACCAATTATTGTACAAACTCTACAAACTAGTCAACTGCGGAAGCCTACTATTAAGTACTAGAAATGCCAGCTCTCTCTGCACAACCACCAGACACTCCTATGCTCTGAGCACTACTAATGTTAATACCATTTATTGATTGTACACTTCTCTCACTTGTATCAGTACATAGTTTTGCAAAATACCTATTTCACTACATATGAGCTATGATATGTCTAATCCATTAGTGAAAATGCTTATTGTATGCAAATTTCTGGGGCTATTTTAACTATAGAGATGCTGGCATTAGAAATGCCCGTCCCTTCAAACCCTTATACCAAATGACAAACTGATAGAACATATCGTTTTAATGTAAAGAAAAAACAAATTGCTTTGCATTGCAAACTGCAAACCGATGGCAATGTAGGCATGAACTGAATGATTAGATGAGAGGCTGTAGAGAGCAGTGACAGTGCATTGTGTGTGCAGTGATAGCGCAGGCATACTGTGCTCCGCGTGCTATACTGTGCTCCAAGTGCTGTGTTCGTGGCATTCAGAGCAATGAATGGCAGCCTCGCGACTACCTTGACATTGAACTATGTATTCAATTGCATCACTTCATGGCAATTGATGTTTTGGTGATTCCTCGAAACCATTGCTATGACAACCCCTGGGATAGAGGATACCGGTTGTGCGTCAGCGGACTGACGTATGTCTCCATAGTCTCCATAGAGAACTCTTTCTCTTCCTAATGGATGCTTAGGACCTACAGAACCGAAGCCTTCCTCTGCTGTGTTTCGCCTAAAACTGAATAAAAATTATTTTTACTTTTTTCTCTCTCTCGGCGCTCTCTATTCGATGTGTTTATCCACTTCTAGAGCGAAAAATATTTGAAAAACAATTTTCCAGTAAAGCTTTTAATTATTTTCTGCAAACATAATAATATAATGTGTTTTTGAATGGCATTCTCGGTGTTGGCGTTTTGAATGTATTGTACGAAACACTGAGACAAACAAAATACGGCTTAACATCAGAATTATATGTATTAGGAGAGAGAGAGAGAGAGAAATGTTGAGCGCATTTAAGACATTTAAAAAATACTTTTTGCCCCAAAAATACAGTACTTTGTATGCTGTGAGGCGTACGGAGAGAGCGGAGGACTTGTTATTTGAAAGAGAGAGAGAGAGAGAGAGAGAGAGAGAGAGAGAGACTGACTGTTAGAGTAGATCTCAAACAACAAAACTCTCTGAACTTGAACTTGAAATCTAAGCCCATGTACTGTAAGGTATACATCGAGTATTGCCGTACTGTACACCTAAACCTAAGAGCACTGGTAGTAAATGCGTTATTCGACCTCAAACTCCATCTAAAATATCTGATATAATATAATAACTCTTACGTAAGAGTGATATATATTTGAAATATTTGTTTCTAAACTGATTTTACAAACGCAAACTAATATATGGAGAAATTCTTTGCAATGAATTATTTTATCGCTCTTTTCATTGAATGTGAAAACGAGATATAAAAATAACTTTTTGTTTGTATTTCGCTTTTCGCTTAAATAAAATAGTAGTGAAATGTGTGAGAAATGGTATTAAAAGGAATGGTTTGTCTGTTTGTCTGCTTTTTTACTCGTAATTAGTTATATGTATAGAAATATATTCAGAGCTAACAGTGCTTTTGGAGGTGGCATTTCTCTATATGTGTGTGTATTTAAAGTATATGTGATGTAAATTTGGTTGAGTTATCGCTTCTCGTATGAAGGAATGAAGTGATCCGAAAAGGTTAACCTGTGCTGCACTGGCAGTGGTAGAGCTGGTGGTGGTGGTGTTGGCGGTGGTAGTAGTGGTGGTGCTATTGCACTGGCGTTGGGCACTGGCGTTTGTAGTGTGTTTGTGCACAAAGAGCATCAAATCCATAGCTCCAGAGCAGCACAACTACTCCAACTCCAACTCTATATCCAACTCCCAGAGCATGTGAGTCCCGGGCAGAAGAGGCAGAAATGAGAAAAATTGTTGATTTGCGTCACGAAAGCTCTGGAGCGGAGTCAGTTTGTGTGAGCGCTCATCAAATAACAAGTCCTCCGCTCTCTCCGTACGCCTCACAGCATACAAAGTACTGTATTTTTGGGGCAAAAAGTATTTTTTAAATGTCTTAAATGCGCTCAACATTTCTTTCTCTCTCTCTCTCTCTCTCTCCAGTGCTCTCTCCAGTGCTCTCTCTTCAGTGCTCTCTCTCTCTCTCTCCAGTGCTCTCGTACTCTCTTTTTAAAAATCATATAATAATAAGAGTTCCAGAATTTTGGACCTCAAGTCCAGACCAGGATTTGTTTGAGACTTCTTTCTCTGTCTCTCGCTTTTAGAGCTCTTGAAAGCAAACACTTGCGAAAAGTTATATAATTTTTATATAAATTTAGTTTTAATACATATTAATAGAAATGCAAATAAATTGATAAAAGCCAACAGAATTAAAGGTAAATAATAGAGGCACTCAATTGTGTGCTCGTATTATATTAGTATATTAAGGTTATTAGTATATGCTACCGGTGCCTCATTGTTATGCGGGCATCCCTTTTGGAAATACAGTATTTATATCTGACTATCAATTGCACAGTATTATAATAGCATATACCTGTGCATACATGTACTGTGCAACTGATAGTCAGGTTCTCTGAGGTTTTAATCCCATTTGAAAAGAAGTATTTTTGTCTCAAAAAAACTTTTGGTCTGTTGAGTGCATACACTCTCACTATTCATTGCCAATACGTTTGCATTATTTGTGAGGTATTGGTTGCAAAACATAATTATTATTCAAATCTTTCTGTTTTGTAAATATAATAATAAATCCATTCTTCACTTAAGCCGTACGTTAAGAATCTTTACTTTTCTTTTTATATGTTATAATCGTATTCTCCAATAATTCTGGCGAATGTTTGCCAGAGAAAGAAAATATTAATAATAATAATTTTGACATTTATTCGGGTGTTTAGTATATAATATATACTCTCATATGATATGATTGTATGGATATATGGATAGTTTCTGTGAGCCTGTGGTCTGTTAGGTTGAGCCCTCGCTTACGTCGATGGAGTTGTTTATGAAATTGCATTCATAATCAATAAATACTAAATATTTATACGTGTTTTTGAGTGAATGTCAAAATATTATTATTAAATAACACCTACGCCTGCACTCTATATGTGCTGTTTATGTGAGTCTGGGATTTATTTGTGATTATATTGTGAACAATATATGAACACAAAGTAAATGTCTTCTTATCTCTCATAATAATAATTGTTTTGATTCTCTAATACTAATAGAGAATAGAGAGAGAGAGAGAGAGAGAGAGAGAGAGAGAGGATGTGGAGAGGGAGTGATGGGAGAGAAGAGAGCGTTGGAGTGTATGTAAGAATCGGATCATAACTTACTTGTTATGTGAGTGAAGAGAGTAGTGAAGAGAGCACTGAAGAGAGGTTGTGATCGTCATAAGGGATAAAAGCCTGCATTGGAGAGAGAAATACATTTGAGAGGTCTTGACGTAAATGTTGCGTCACTTTTGCCATTTAAATGTGGATTCAGTGAGAGCTACGAGTGCTGTTAGGGGCTGACAGGGCTGGCAGACTATGCTCTACTGCATACTCTCTCGCATACTCTCTCTCTCCCTCTATTCTCTTGCAAATACACATTTGGAGAAAAGGTGGAGAGACTGGAGAGAGACTGGAGAGAGAGAGAGAACTGAATCCACATTTAAATGGCAAAAGTGACGCAACATTTACGTCAAGACCTCTCAAATGTATTTCTCTCTCCAATGCAGGCTTTTATCCCTTATGACGATCACAACCTCTCTTCAGTGCTCTCTTCAGTGCTCTCTTCACTACTCTCTTCACTCACATAACAAGTAAGTTATGATCCGATTCTTACATACACTCCAACGCTCTCTCCTCTCCCATCACTCCCTCTCCACATCCTCTCTCTCTCTCTCTCTCTCTCTCTCTCTCTCTCATGTGTTTTTCTTTCACAATACTCTTAATATTACAATTGAATGATTGTTAGTAGTGTTCAAAATGCCTAAAATAGCTGTACTTTCAGTGCAATACCTGAGCGGTAGTTCTTTCATTTACAATGAACTCTAACTCCTAAATGAATTATAAGCGAAAACATTTGCGAGCCTTCAATGCGAGAGAGAGAGAGAGAGATACAATGAGAGAGTCTGGGAGAGCAAATGATTGTCCAAATCTTGAGGTAAATTAATAATGTCGTTGCAGACGTCAAATGTGATATTTTTGCTTATTCTCTATGAATTGAAATCAAAAAACATGTTTTCAATGTTTTCAATATATTTCTAACTAATACTTAATGCATTGAATGAGATTGTGATGCAAGCCCTGGATGTGTGGGTCTAATACAGTAGCACTCAGTGGCCATAACTGTATTTATTTGCCACAAAAGTTAGACAATATCCAACTTATTATATATTATGACATAAAGAGACCTTTTGTATGCACTGGCTATGCATTGCTATACATTGCTATGCATTCAATGCACACCAAAAGCTGATAATTACAGAGAAAAAAGTCTTTTTAAAAAAAAGTCTTAGAATTGCATGAAAAACTCAGACAAAAGTTTGCGAACAGAGCTCCTCATTGACCACTCATTCACGGCTATTATTATGAACACCACTATTGGTGTTGTTTTTTAGAGGCACTAAATCCGTAAACACAGAGATATGTATTGGGGTATTGGTGCGCAACGGTGTGCCCGGAGCTGTCTGTCCATTACGGCTGGCATAGCGTCACCAATTGTGCGGACCTTTCATCCGTGTATTGTTTAGGTGGGCGTTGAGTCGCATTGCGATTATCGAGACAAAAAAGTCTGGCTCTTCGGCACAGGTCTCCCATTATTCCCTTTTAAACCTTATTTTCAATGCTTTTGGCTTTTTATGTGCTCTACCTTTCAATTGTATGAATGATTTTGAACCCAAATATAATATATAACACATTGAGAACCCGTCCTAACATTGAGTGCACAATAAAAAAGGTCTTTTGATTGAATGCACCAAAAAACTAATACACAGAAACTGACCGACGAATGCCATAACTGGTCACTCAATGGTCACTGCATTCCATATTTTACTCTATCTTTCTGTTAAATCCGAGCCCTCACTGCCCCCACAGTATAAACGCCTGCCTCACTGTCCAGTAGCTCAGGGCTCAAGAAAAGGCATTACAACTGAAAGTATTGCCAACAAAAGGATATGCAGAAAATTTCTGCACTGAAAATATTAGTTGAGAGAGAGAGAGAGAGAGAGAGAGAGAGAGAGAGAGAGAGAGACTTTAAGAGAGATAAAGAAAAAGCGATAGAAGTGAGGAGAGGGAGAGAAATGCACGCAATTCTCTGCAATTCTTTACATTTCTCTGGATATTAGATATGTTTTTATTCAAACTCTCACTTCAATTGCTTCTCATTTCTGAAAAAACTAAAAACTTATGAGTTTTCAATCAAATATTAAAAGAAATAAAATACGAATTGCAATAAAATCTATTAATTAAATAAATATATATTTTGCATTTTTTAAAATTAATTTTCCAATTATAACAGTATTGTGTAAACTTTTATATTGGATACAATGTATGGAAAGTACATGCAGTGAGGTGCAAGGTGTAATATACAGACAAACAGCTTATTTATATGCTATTAAAATCTCGTGATAAGAATTGCAATATTTATGAAAACGATAAAACAAAAAAGAAATAAAGACAAATAAATTTAGTAATACTATTAAAACATATGTATTTTCGTTTGAATAGTTGGGGTAATGCATGAAAAAATGTGTTTATATGAGTTTAGTGCGAATGACGTGAAACTTATGTAATAATAATTTGGAGAATGAAATGAATGATTATGTTTTGTATGAATTTGAACATAAAAACAGATGAGTTGAATGAAATTGCGATTAAAACCCAATTAATATATACTGTACTTTCGATTCATAACTAAGGAAACGATAGACAAGTTTTACAACATATTCTCTATAAGTAAGGAAACCTTTCATTCAACTGGTTATAAGAGTTTGATATGAAGGCATGTTTTTTTTATCGATGAAATAAAAAGTTAATTTCTCCCAAACTAACATTTATATGAAACTCGTATTAAGTAGTGGTGTGTTGTTTATCATTGTTTGCCTCAACCCAACCAACCCTTATAGACGAATGCAGCTCTTAATTGATAATGAAATTAACTGATTGGCAAAAAGGTAGCGATAATTTGCTTTTGCTATTTGAAGGCCATTAGTAATTGAAACTCATTTTACTTTACATTTTTCGTCGACAAACTAAACGCTAACTAAACTCTGTGTTTATAATACAACTAATGATAAGCGCTGTTATAACCCAAGAATTCTCTCTCTTTCTCTCTCTTTCCCTTGTCTTTGGCTAAAGATATTCACTATTATATAGTGAATGAGTGGCTCTAAAGTGTCTCTAACTTTACAAATATGTATGAGTTTTGTATGAGAGAAGTGTTTCTTTAACTCTCGAGTCCTGTGCCACGACTTCTTTCTCTCTGATCTCAAGTAAACGCAAAATAATTTACGGTTTGTTTTGTTATGATTTGTTTGTCTCAATAGTAGACAATATATTAGCAGAGAATCGATTGGGAAGTGAAGGCATCGAGTGCTGGAAGAGTTCATCACAGCCTCCACGACAGCGCTCCCAAAGAGTCTCTTCATTAGAGGGTTAGCCATAAAAAAGTGGTGACTATTAAGACACTGGGACTACGATATGAATTGTCATTGAGATATGATATGGTTATGGTGTGAGTGGTAGTGACGGTGTCGGCGTTGAGGGTCTGAAGTGTATCCCAAAGTAATAGCGATAAGAGAAATGCAACGCAAATGTAAATTGTGAGGACTTCCCCGTGCGCTCAGACCTGAACACTACCAGTGCGACCGAGTTTTTAACTAAAACAGATCGCTATTTAATGATACGCTATGGAAAGGACCGACAACTTCGGATTGGATCCCATCCCTAAGCGGAGTTCCCTCTTAGACGAGTCCAATGCATCCAATGGTGCGCATCGAGAGAGCGGTCATCGCATCCAATGGAAAGTCTCGTCTACTTTACGATTAATCTGTGATCTCAAGGATCACTAAATTTTGATGTCTTATTAGTTTTGAGTTGAGTTCTGGATGTGAATCGTGTCACTCGACTCTCTCGCGCTCTCTCGCTCTCTCCCACTCGCTCTCTCCGCTTGTGATACTAAACAATGTGTTGAATCGGACGATAAAAAAGTTTTTTCTCAGTGAGAGAGAGACTCCAAGAACTTCTTAAACATTGCATTCGTGTCTCGCATATCATGCAAACCAATTCACTGGATGGAAGTGTGGTGCGGGAGGGCCGGTGGATACCAAAGCCCCTGTTCATCACCAACAGCCTCCGCAAGTGCGGGAGTCTCGAGTCAGACCAGTCGACGCCGCAGGACTCGCCACTAGATCTGTCCACCAAAAGCCCCCGAAGTCTGGGCGACCGGTTCATCAGCATAATCACCGAAAGCCTCACCACAACAACTGCCACTTCGACGAACATTCCCTTATCTCCAGTCAACCTCTCGAGTAGTTGTGAAACACCAAGTGATACGTCCAGTCCTCCAACGCTCC